CGGGCACTTGACAAACGTGGATTTGCCTGTCGTGTGAATCGCCTATAAATACTAAACTCTCGACTACATGTAGATCTACGCGAATGACTGTTGGGACATTCTTCCAAAACATGACGTCACAGAATTCGTAAAAAAAAGACAACTTTTGTCGCAAGCGGCTAGCCTGTCGCAAGCGCGAGACTCATCATGGGCGCGCTCGAGCTGCGAAGCGCGACACACGAGCGCGACCCAAACTGTGTCACGTGTGTGTCCAATCTGACCGTCAATATGCATGATCGCCTTCGATTATTTATTTTCGTTCTACTCGACAATTCCAAAAATCAGTGCCATTGGCTTTAGCTTTGCCCTTGAACTTGAAATCTCGTGCCTTATTCTTTCTTGGGGACTGGTGTTGGATATTGAACGGGCAGAGTGACCGCCGGGATGATGGATGAAGGAGATGATGGCCTAATCTTGGCTGCGCGCATTCTCATTTTCGCGTGGCCTGCCACTAGTGTTTGATTCACAAAGGGTGTCACAGGCATAGCTGGAGGAGGAAAGGTGATGTGAACTTCAGAAGTTCTGCCATCGCAGCACTGTATAGAGGGCCATTAGAGGCTGTGTAGGCTGTATGTTTGATTTAGTTTGATTTAGCTCAGTGCTGAGCTTGCACCACACCACAGGTAGCATATTGAGTATTATCAAGAGTAGATAAACAAGAGTGTGCAACTCCGGATGGATTGGCCCACGGCGGAATTTTTTGTTGACGTAATCTTTTCGACGACGCACGCGCTGCGAGCCTTTTGGAGAGTTTTCCCTCGTGCACTTGGCTGGGCTTTACACTACAAGGTCGGTGCCCAGCACGTGCTCTCACACTGCTCTGCGGCAAAGCCGCGTTTCTCTGAAAAAAGGTGACGTAAACAAAAAATTCCGCCGTGGGCGCGGGGTATCTGCAGATTGTGCAGGAGAGATCCGGAGTTGCACACTCTTGTTTATCTACTCTTGGTATTATCCATATAGCATATTGAGTATTATCCATATAGTATTATCCATATAGCTTGAACCGCTCTGTGAGCGGTTCTGAAAAACCTTTACTGGCGCTGCCCCGTCGTAAAAGTAAGAAATTAAAACTGGCTCATTGTACCCCCAAATGTGAACTGATCCACCTAAATCGCAAATGACGTGACCCGAATGCAGCAGTAGCACGAGGGTGCACTTGTGGTGTGCCGCAGGGCTCTGTACTAGGACCCATGCTGTTCTCCATATACAGTAGGTATCGGTTATAGCGTGGGTGTTTGAAAAACGACTTTCTATTCTTATTTCCGATATTTCTTACACACGATAAATCAAGTGTGACATATCATGTGCATGTGCGCAGAGGCAGGAAGATCATCGTACATACAAGGTAGTGCTACTGTGCATGCGGCTGGTCACAGTCACATAGGCTTACCATGTGGCTATGCAACATGAGTTACATGACCACAATAGTTGAACCTGCAGCACTACGACCCAACGCGAGTCAGATCAGAACTGCTTTGGATGGATGTTATTACTACAGGCGATATACTTTGTACTGATCTGGCATGTTTCGCTACACAGATTCCATTCTTAGGACCGATATATTCTACTGTACGATAAAATTGCTTGTAAGAATAAATGTGCACATGAAATCCATGTTATGATTATGAAAACATGAGAGTTCATTCTTGTAGGCAGTATATTCTTTTACACGACCACGCTATAACCGATACGCACTGTACACCAGAGATATCCCCTCGGAATCTGCGCCGGCATCATCACTGCAGTTTGCGGATGACATCGCCCTCACATGTGCAAGACGGACAGCGCAAGAGGTGTCTGATGCGCTCAGCTTGGCGGTTACCTCCCTCTCAAGTTGGCTGGACGCTCGTGGTCTTGTATTAAATGCAAAGAAGAGTAATGTATTGGTTTTTACCAGCAGCAGTGGGCAGCAGCCGGACGTGGGTGTACGCTGTCGAAATGATGTGCTTCCGCACACCACCAGCGCGAAATACCTCGGCGTCTTAATCGATGAACGAATGACCTGGCAACCGCAAGTTGACCGGTGCATCTCACGCACTGCTAGGAAGATCGGTAGTCTGTGGCGGGCGCGACGCTGCCTCACTCTAGCTAGTCAAAGCAAGTACTTCCTATCTGTCATCATGCCGGATTTGATATATGGATCGTCAGCATATGGCTCCGGTTTGACCCACAACCAGCTAAACCGCTTGCAGGTGGCCCGAAACCGCGCAGCAAGGGCGGTGTTCGGACGACCACGATTTACCAGGGCCAGTGATCTCTTGGAGAGGCTCTCTGTTTATCGCATGGACGAGGTATATCGCCAGAAACTGCTCGTGCTGGTATGGCGGTGCGTTCATAACCGTGCCAGTCCTGTTCTGCAGGCACTGTGTGTTCGCAACTGCGGAGCAACTCGCCTTCAGCGCAGTCTGGGCCTACAACAACCAATAGCCAGAAGCCGAGCAGGCCAATGCCGACCGGCATCTCGCGGTTGCCTGTTATGGAACCATATACCTGACACGGTGCGAGCTATGGGCAACATCCCAGCATTCCGCCAAGCTGCCATTCCCTACACGTAAGTCGTTGTAGACTGCTACACAGTTGGCCATACCATGGTATTCAGTACCCACGAACTTTGCAAAGCCGATAATGTGATAATGTACCGTGGTGCATGCACCGGTGGTACCACCACTTCGTAGACTGCCTCCCGTTCATTTCTGTGCTCCTGTCTTTATTCTCGTCAGCTGTGTACTTCAGCAGTTCAATTCTGTGCTCCAGTCCTCTTTATTCTCGTGAGTTGTGTACTCGTTTTGCTGTTTGTCTGGTTTATTTGAATTCGCACAGTAAATGTGTACTTCAGTTATTCTCTCCTCCCTCTTCTGAGTTTGACTCTCCGCTGGCCTTCTCTCCTCCCATCCCCTTACATCGTATTGGGCCTCCGCACACACTACATTGTCACATAGCACAACTCAACCATTCGCTACCCCGTTATTGAGCACTCCTGCTCGTTTGGTCTCGCAAATCCAAATAAAATCAATCAATCAATCAGGTTCCTACCTGTGGATGCAGCTGGGGACGCTGGTCCACAGGCCATGGTCGTCGATGAACTCCCATGTTGGATATCCGATGGAAGTAACTATGTGTACTAGCAAAGTTACACTGCCACTGATACCATGTACTAGTGATGGTGTTACCCTATGATGTGCTGTGATCCTGTGCCCTCCCGACCTCGTGCTACTGGTGCGTTCGGGTCCCGTCATTCCCGATTTAGGTGGATCAGTTCACATTTGGGGGGACAATGGGCCAGTTTTAATTTCTTACTTTTACGACGGGGCAGCGCCAGTAAAGGTTTTTCAGAACCGCTCACAGAGCGATTTTTATATGGATAATTTCAGTTTTTTTTCCGTTCCCTCCCCACCCCAACCCCGAAGGTAAACATGATGAACACGCGCGCGATGTACTGTATGTAGGCATGAGACTGCGATAACACACTGATACATACCAGCCCTCCCCACCTCGCTTACCCCGCACACAGATACACAAACACGCGGATGCACACGGTACACGCACACATACGCACATGCACACGACACAAACAGGAAATTCTTCATGTAAAATGCCATGCAAAGCAGTGGCCACCGTACTTTTAAAAGGAAGTCAGTTGTGGAACAAAATAATTCAACTACAACGTGTACACAAGCTGACGGCCAAAGCACAACATAGCAAACATGACATTTGCCCAAGGATTGCAGTTTGCAGACCACGCCATGGAAGCAGCGAATACAGAATGTAATATCATACAAAGTGACAAGCAAAGAAGTGGCCACCATACACCAGAAACTTGCAGAAAGTCACATATCCAAGAGATGGAAAAGTGAACAGCAATCTGGTACAGCCCACACAAGACAAAGCTGACCTGATACTTGTCCCAGGATCGCAAGTGGCAGATCCTTTTCAATGCATAACATGCAGGTGTACGTTACACGCATGGACAAAATCTGACCGTGTCGCCAGCATACAATGTCATCACATATATACCCCACAAGTTACACACATGCACAGTAGAAGCACAATGAAAGCAATGGAAAAGTACGATGTGGTTGCTGAAGCATCTTCGCACTTCAAATTCAGACTTAAAGGGGAAGTTAAGGCAAAAATTAAAATTTCACCAGTTGTAGTCTTCGGGGTGCTGAGTCGAATGGTCGTGGTCCGAGGAAGCTGAGACGCTCCCTTCCTACTTGAATCCCAATCGAACTCGCGCACTTCCACCGAAACTGGGTGACTGCGCCCTACGAGATGGGGATTTGTATGCAAAATGTCACTAAAAGCGCCATTTCGTTCTTATAAAAGCACGGATGACCGCGATTGGCCCATATGTTGTAGTCTTTTGGACGCTGGGTCGACTGGTTTTGGTCCGAAAAGGCTGCAATGCAGCGTTCCACCTTTATTCCCAATCGAACATGGTTGAACAAGCGGTCACGTGCTCCTGCGTACGCCAGTCACCTGGTCACCGGTCCGTGCCTGCAGGGTACAACTAATTACTTACTAGCCTGTTTGACCTTTTTTGGGTGCAGTCCTGTCACTCGAGTTGAACTCGAGTTGAACCTTGGTGTGAAAGTTGTCACCTGCTGGCGTGGTGACCAGGTGATTTGGGCACCCAGGAGCACGTGACCACTTGTTCAACCATGTTCGATTGGGAATAAAGGAGGAACGCTGCATCGTAGCCTTTTCGGACCAAAACCAGTCGACTCAGCGTCCAAAAGACTACAACATATGGGCCAATCGCGGTCATCCGTGCTTTTATAAGAACGAAATGGCGCTTTTAGTGACATTTTGCATACAAATCCCCATCTCGTAGGGCGCAGTCACCCAGTTTCGGTGGAAGTGCGCGAGTTCGATTGGGATTCAAGTAGGAAGGGAGCGTCTCAGCTTCCTCGGACCAAGACCATTCGACTCAGCACCCCGAAGACTACAACTGGTGAAATTTTAATTTTTGCCTTAACTTCCCCTTTAAATGTGGTCATCACGAGATGATATACCTGCAAGATACAAGATAGAAATGGCGGCGGCCGCGGCGATTGCAGCCTTGCGACGCCGCATTCTGGGACTAGCGGAGGACGGGCTGTCGGAAACGTGCGCTTTCTCAACGCGTGTGGACTTTGCCGGGGTGGCGTCGGCAACAGGTGGCTCTGGTGTTGCAACGCTCTCGGTCTCACACTTCGCATCACTCGGCTCGGTAGCATCAGCAGTAGTTGTAGCAGTGTGGGAAGTATCGCTCTCTTCTTTCTCCTTGCCGCTAGTACTTGTGTCCATGGCAGTGTCAATGGTGGTGTCCATTGCAATGTCGATGGTGTTGTCCACAGTATCTATGGCGTCCATGACGATGGTGTCCATGACGATGGTGCCAGTGGGTGTGATGGTGGTACTGTCATCAGGCTTGTACCCGTGAAACTGTTCCAGGTAGTAACGCAGAGAGTGCGCGTACTTGTCCAGTGCGTACCACATGAGCTGCGTGAAGAAGGGAAAGCGGAGCTTCTGCGGAACCTGCATGATAAGACACGAAGGGAGTCATAGTGGAACAAAGTGAAGTATACGGAGATGGAGAGAGAGAGAGAGATGGAGAGAGAGAGAGATGGAGAGAGGGAGAGAGAGAGAGAGAGAGAGAGAGAGAGAGAGAGAGAGAGAGAGAGAGAGAGAGAGAGAGAGAGAGAGAGAGAGAGAGAGAGAGAGAGAGAGAGAGACAGAGACACATACACACACAGTTCCACAGCAACATCGATGAACGACGTAGGAACATAACAAAACAGAAACCTTCATGCACAACTCCAAGCCTTGGAAAGCTCACACAAGGTCTTGCCGTGGTAGAGTTGTAGAAGATATGACAGACATGCACAGCACAGCTCATGTACCTTAGTAGTTTCTTCAATGTCCGCCACGGCAAGCTGACCGCTTATGTTGAAACTGTGCAGAAAGTTTCCACCAAACACTAGCGAATCCACAGGAGTGTGAACTGCATGAATCCAGCCTGTCAACGAACAAACATACACACAGTCCAGTGTTGCCACATCACTTTGGCCAAATATCAGTAGGATGAAAAAATAAAATGCATCATCTGGGGGCTTTTTGCCCCCAGACCCCCATCATAGTAACCCCAGTATACACATGCACACAAAGCGCACTGTTAAAGGGGAAGTATACCCTAAAATCACATTTTCACCAGTTGTAGTCTTCGGGGTGCTGAGTCGAATGGTCTTGGTCCGAGGAAGCTGAGACGCTCTTAGCTACTAGTACTTGACATACAATGTAGGTGCAGTCAGAAAACATGGGGTCAGGAGTTATTATTTTCGAGCTGGGCATTGGTAAAAATCAAAAACTTAACGGGAAAAAATGGGGGTGGGTGGGTGGGTCAGAGACAATTTAGCATGAGGACGGATTTTTTAATTTTTCGAAAATTACGGACGACCCTAAAGAAGGTGGTGTGACTTACAATCGAGCGTGACTTCTTCCTACGTAATATGTGAATGTACTGTATAGAAACAACTTGGCTCAGACCTGTTGCGACTTATCATCAAGTGCGACTTCTAATCAGTGAAATGCTGTACACTTAAGCCAATGCCAGCTTTCTTCTTCTCATTCCACTTCCTTCGCAGGTTCTGCTACGAGACACATTCGTGATTATAAGGAGCTTGTCAGTCAGAAGGATGGACAGAGAGGTAAATATACATACAAGTACGGATGGATGATGGGTAGAGAAACAGACAGAAAGACAGACAGACAGACAGATAAACAGACAGACAGACAGACAGATAAACAGACAGACAGACAGACAGACAGATAAACAGACAGCCAGCCAGGTAAACAGACAGACAGATAAACAGACAGACAGACAGATGTATGTCTGTATCTACACCCATCGTCCATCTATATACTGTGTACATGTGTGTGACACAAAAACAGACAAACAGACAGGGAATGCTGACCTTTCCACCCTTGAGAATGTGATACCAGACGGATGTGCCACCAAAGTCGATACGGAAATCTGTGTAAATCGACTACATTTTTTAACTAACGTAATTACGTTATGCGGAACATCTCTAACAAAGTACAGTGAGTGCAGGGAAATTCTTCGACAACTGCAGACAGTCAGTTATAGGCGATTCACACGACAGCCACTTGCACGTTTTACGGTGAGTGATTTACGAGAAAATTGACTGTGTGGATTCACATGGCTGCACTCAACAGCGGGCACGTTTGCATTTTTGAATGATTCACCCACCAGTTGCCATGAGTATTTCAAATTTTCAAAACACGTGTACAATAATTATCATGGTGAAAAGAGCCGCGTAAAAAATCAAGTCTTGTTTTGCGCTTTTTGGTGTAAATATAGTTTACTGCTTGCCGCAGAGGGGCTGAGGGCTAGACCCACAGGACACTTCTGATCATAACTCACTAGACCTAGTCTTTCTTAAACTTACATTCAGTTTCGGCGGGGACAATACCCCCGACACACGACCAACAAAATCTTTAACTGTCTTTGACGCCATCAGAATATCTATGCAAACACAGCCTAACGGACAAAGTCAAACAAGCCGTGACCTGATGTTGACACAGCCTGGTCAGTATGGAGCTTGCATGTCGAGTCTGCAGTTAAGGAATTCATACCTCAAAAGTTGAAGCGAAATAACCTGAACAATAAACTGTACATGTGGTATAATGCGGGAAAATCAATAAATTAATTACAAAAATGTCACGTTCGGAAATTTTATTGGGTGGTCATCCCGTTTGACTGTGCGAAGTAATATTAAAACAACCAAATGGTTGGGTTGATCTGCACTGTGCAACCGATTCTCTCACCTTTCTTCCTCCAGCTATGCCTGTGACACCCTTTGTGAATCTGCGAAACACTAGTGGCAGGCCACGCGAAAATGAGAATGCGCGCAGCCAAGTTTAGGCCATCATCTCCTTCATCCATCATCCCGGCGGTAACTCCGCCCGTTCAATATCCAACACCAGTCCCCAGGAAAGAATAAGGCACGAGATTTCAAGTTCAAGGGCAAAGCTAAAGCCAATGGCACTGATTTTTGGAATTGTCGAGTAGAACGAAAATAAATAATCGAAGGCGATCACGGTCAGATTCGACTCACACGTGACACAGTTTGGGTCGCGCTCGTGTGTCGCGCTCCGCAGCTCGAGCGCGCCCAAGATGAGTCTCGCGAGCGCGACAGGCTAGCCGCTTGCGACAAAAGTTGTCTTTTTTTTACGAATTCTGTGACGTCATGTTTTGGAAGAATGTCCCAGCAACAGTCATTCGCGTAGATCTACATGACAATCATTGTACAATGAGACTAGCTGATGATAACCATGATAACTGCACTGCACTGTTATACCAAGAGTACATAACCCCCATGTACTCTTGCTTATACTGATAAACCTGGGAGTAGAGTTCAGAGTTCAGACTCAGTCATGTATTAGGCGCTAGCTACGTCATACTACAGTGTAGATGCATGCGCATGCATGGTGTATAATATTTTTACCGAGCAACAGGAAAAAAGCAACCGATCGACAGTTTCTTGAATTATTTTTGTTGTTGCAGCGATCCAGCTGGCTAGCTACAAAGTAGTGCATGCATTGGTAAAGCCAGGTAACATCAAACCATGCAAACAGTAGTTGGTGCGAAGAAGAAGAAAGCATAAGTCCAACGGGTTGGTTTGGGTGCCGAGAAAGATGACTTCAGAGGAGTTTAGGCACCGTGGGCCTGGCGATCGTCCTCGATCGCGATTTCTTATGGCGACGACAGGGGCTATTGCTTTCCTCGCGGCTTGCACGAGAAACCAGCACCATGGCCTGCCATTCTTCAAACGTACGTATACAGATTCTGCTGCATAAAAGCGATAGAAGGAACGCGGGTCGGGACTCTCATCGTGGTTTGTTTTCCTGCGCAGGTCCTCAACTACACATCGTCTACGTGTCAGCGTCCCTGGCTGGCTGTGCTCTCTTTGATAAAATGGTTTTGTACAAATTCCTATACGATCGCAAGAAGATGTTGTTTGACACCCAGTCGGAATATCCAACGTACTTGTACGGAACCGTGTCTGGTAGGTGGATTGGTGGTACCAGTAGGCCGCACTGCATGTCGCGTGTTCTGCTGAGGTTCACGTTGTGACATTGTATGCACATGTATTATGCAGTCCCGGCGCATCCGTACGGACGTGTGTGTGTGTGTGTGCGCGCGCGCACGTGTATGTGTGTGTGTGTGTGTGTGTGTGTGTGTGCGCGCGCGCGCATGCGTGTGTATATGTGTGTGTGTGTGTGTGTGTGCGCGCGCGCGCCCGCGCATGTGTGCAATGTGCGTGGGCTAGTTCAGTTTCTTGGTGCACTTGTGCTAGTAAGTGATTAGGTGGACCTGTTGCCATCGGACTCAGCTGCTTGAAGGTGTATTGCGTATACCGTGTCTCTATCAGCCGTCGGTTTGCTCAATAGACGTTTTAAAAGCGACTACATCATCAGTTGAGATGCTTTGCCGAAGTCGCGGCACAGTGGCAATACTGCACTAGCGACTCACGCTACACACTAGTACATAGCGCCCATAAGCGGTTCCGCTGTATTCTTAGCGTCCATCAGCGGTTCCGCTGACTCACTCCCATGAAATCATTTGCATTATCTTTATAGCCAATTGAGTCGCCTTTGCTAGATTCCTTTTGGATCCCCCCCCCCCCCTTCCGGGAATACCCACATGACCTGTTTCTGGCCGTGATGAAAAGCAAGTGTGTGGTATTTTGTTGTTGTTTTTTTTATGAAGAACACAAACCCGGCTCCACACGAAAATTAATAACAAGACATTTGTCACGGCTGTCAAGAAGCGGCAACTTAGAAAGATGGCGTCGGTTCGAGCTGGCATGGTAACTACGCACGTGCCGTGGTCCGTGACTTGCTCATGTATGCACGCAAATGCAAGTCGCAAACTCACAAAGATCGTCTTTGCATTTGGAGAGAATAGCTTCGACTCTTGCTGGAGGTTGGCGAGGTTTGCCTAATCTTTACTTGATCGCGATGCCAACATGTCCTCTCAATAATTTAGAACAAAGAGAGCTGATGATCGCTTCATTGCTGAGTAGAAGTAACAATCAACTCTCCTCAGGTCCTCAGCGCCAAAGGCAGACGGCTGCAATTCCACAACGCTCACTTCACGATGATGGAAACAATATCGATCTCTTATTGGCCAAAGGCCACCGTGAGAATAAAGATTTGAATAGCGTGTACACCCAGAATTACTTGAACCATTCGGTCATCCCTATCCTAGCCGCTACTACGGCGCTAGTGCGTCCAGCAAGGAGATATTGACTATTACGATTCGGACAACTGCGTGAACGAGGGCTCGCTGAGCAAATACAATTGAAGTCGTGACTAAAATCAAGAATTAGGGGCTATACTCGAGAAATACAAGCTAACCTACAAAACTGATGCATGTAGATGGCATGAACGAAGGACAACATTTTAATAGGCTAGACAAAGTGTCCCGAGGGACTGAAAACAGCAGATCTACCAAATAAGACAGCCACATATGTAAGATGCATGTGCAGAACACTTCCAATAATACAGTAGCGACTAGTATCAGGCGGAATGAAAGCCTCCAAAGTCCACAAATACAGCCACGACCGCCACAAAAATTGGACGACCGCCACGGAAAAATTGTCATTGCTCTACCTCCTTGAAGGGCGAAAGTTACCAGTTATCCTATAACGATGTTAGTTTATGCCAGTAGGACCCCCCCCCCCCCCAGCCAGCACGAAATACCTGTCAAATAATACCTGGATGCAATTGCAGCTCCAGACAGGAGGAAGAAGAACATCGTTGAAAATAACAGCAGCGATGCCCAAACTCTTGGGAAACGGATGAAGTCTTCCTGAAGATGTTAACATTGAATAGCAATCGATTACCAGCGTGGTTTGGTGACTTTAGGACTGTTTTGAGACTTAGAACGAAGCGATATCTCAAATTGATGGAATTGTTACTTGTCAAATGCGCGGGCGAGCAGACCAGCTGACTGGTTTGCATGAGCATGCATTAGGTTAGCATGATTCACGTGCAGAAAACTAAGGAAGTTGCCGCGATCCAAGTGCGGCTAACAGCCGTGTTGTGCGCATGTTCTGGTATATTGTGGGATGCAAGCGTAAGGAAAAAACTCCGGGAGTATAAGCAGGGAAGCTATAACCATTGGTTTGATGCTGATATGTGGAAGTATTTACGAATCTCCTGAACGCATGCCAGTGTACGGGCAGTGCACCTGCTGATTATCTTTTACAGCAGCAATAGCGGATAAGATCGGAATGAAACAGATAAAGGCTTCGCCAGGTAATTTCATATTGCCTGTCCCTTTGTCTGTGTTGCAGAAATTCCCAAGCCGCTGCCGGATTCCTTCAAGGAGCTGGATCCGCACAAGCCATATTGGTGTACGTGTTACTTCACTCCTGTTTGTACAACATCAGTGTTCTAGCAGAGTGCAGGGTGGAGTCCTGACCGATGTCTTAATAGAGATATAAGTTTGATTTTGAAATCGTGTACACCATGCTCTACTTCCAGGCTTGCATTGCATCCCTTACACGGTGATCATGGTTGCTTTGACGGGTATACGGGCACACTTATAATGTACATGTAGCCTGTTTCTTTTTTTGCATGTTTGTACACTTTTGCAGTTGTGGGGGCATATTATGTACTCGTGTCGAAACCGCAAACAAACTGTTGTTGCTTTATTGTGACGTGTATTGCATCGATTACTTCTCCTGTGGTGTGTGTGTGTGTGTGTGTGTGTGTGTGTGTGTGTGTGTATGCGTGTGCGTATGTGTGTGTGTGCATATGTGTGTGCGCTTTTTTGTTTGCGTGGGTATGCGCGTGCGTGATGCTTGTGCTCTCGTGTGAATGCCGTGGCTCCCACAGATCCATACAATGTTGAGGGTGAGGCCAGAGAGAAGTACTTCCACAAGACTGGTGGCAAGGACTTGTGGGAAGGTAACATGGACTTCATGAAACCCAAGCCTTAGAAATGTGCTATTACTGTCCGACTTCTGTACGAATATTGACTCGCGGTAAGTGCAACAAGCCTTCTGTCTTTTTTGCTGAGCTCTTGCTGAATCATCGCCTTGTACATACAACTTTAGTTCATATTTTGCACTTGTCTATAATAATAATTATTATGTTTGAGTGCCTGTGAAGACTCTCCAAGCTATCTTCTCGTAGTTCTGTAAAATTGCTTGTGGATTTGCTTCTTTAAAATTGCACACCCACTGCTGTTAGTGTTTTGATTTTTAATTTTCTTATAGGCAAAGCTAAGATTTTTTGATCCAGCGGCTTTGGTTTTTGTGGCTGACTCTGTGTCTGCACTGTCGGGATGTCAGCTGAATATTTTTTTGTTTTTTCTCAATGCGTACAGTACAGTAGTGCGCACCCACTGCATGATAAATCTCTCTTCCCAACTGTGACCGCTATGCTTGCAGTTCCATTGTACTTTTGTCAAACTAGTGCAAATATTTATGAGCTAACTACTCCCAGCCAAGGGGAACTTGGTATGTTTCGTCAATGGAATTCTCGTGCTACGCCGCAGCTACGGCAGTTGTGATTGCGTAATTGTGCTGACCAGGAATGCAATCCGTATCAGCAATGTGCCACTGTTGAGTTGCGTTTGGCAACACTGCGTGTGGGCCATTTGTCTATTGTTGATCATGATTGCGGCAGCCTTGGTTAGAAACTTGAAGGTCCATGAAGAGCAGATTTCCTAAGTTCAGTAGCGACTGCTAGTACTAGTACATGTAGATGGAGATTGCGCAACCATGGACCATCGGGAGTGAGTAATCACCACCTTTTCAATTTCAGTTTTCAACCATTCTTTGCTGCTTGGCTCGTACAATGCAACACTAGTATTCCTACTTTGTTTGGGATGATCCGGGAATCTCAATTACCAAAGCAAAGTACATGTACTATATAGGGTAAAGTCGTATGTTCTTACAGTCAGACTCACACTGTGTGCATACATTTACATGAGATTGTATACAATTACAGGTTCATTCAACGATACAAATAGTCTTTGATGTACAGTGTAAACATGTCCCAGAAAGACCGGATGATAATGGTAACTTGTAGTTCCTTGGTCTTTCTCTTTTGTATAGATAATGGTTAAATAAATAATTGTCATCCTTTCCGCTAGTTAGTATTAGTAACTTGGAAGGCTCAGGTTCGAAAAGGTCCAAGAAGGGAAGGAAAGCGCAACGAAGAAGAGCACGACTGAGCTACGCCCCACGGCAAACAAAGAATGCCGAAAGTTACTGGATGATGACGAAACTAGAAGGGCATACCGGTCTTACTAAAACTCGACGACGCAAAGCCACCCAAATTGGGAGGTTCAAGTTTTTGTAATAAACAGAGAAAGGGGAAGCTAAGCAGTAAGCGAAGACGAAGTGTGGTTGTTGGTTTGCGCCGGAGAGGTCTTGGAGCTACATGTACTGATGCAGGTGTCAGGTCGCCGAATGGCTCAGTACTCCTTGTCAGTTTTGTGCCATTTTGTCGCACTCGCTGACTGCCAAATCTGGTTATGTTGGTGGGGAGTTAGTCATAACTCGTACCATTTTGTCCTTCTCCTTTTTTACGATAATCTGCATGCTTGTGATTCATCTGCTACCAATAATGCGAAGCCTCGGGTAATGAATTATACCTTACACCCCGCTGCTTCCAAAACCTGAATTATGAGAACCCATTGTGGCACAAAGGTTCAGCTGCGTCTGATCGCCCCTCATGCATGTAACATAATTGTTATCCTTTCTCCTTAACTTGGCATGGTCCAGAACTCGAATGAACATCAGTTATGATTGCTCATTCCGGTTTCAACATTCCGAGACCAGTTCATTGCAGCACGCGCAACAGGTGTCTTGCCACTTGCCTTGGACCTGGCGCCAGGCCATGGTACGAGCCACTTGAACTATTTTGTTGAAGTTCCTAAACCACACATTTGGCTAGCGGTGTAACACCAGTAATCGTGTTAGCCAGCTGCAGAAGCAGCCGCAGCGTTGTGAATAACGCAGTGAATGTGATAGCGTGACACGGTACTGCGGACAAAAATGCTTGGAAGTCAATTGTTAGTCTTCAGTACAGAGTACACGTATAATAGCACTATGAACATGAGTAACAGGACTGTACAGAGTGTATGCCATCATCTGACTTCTTAGTTCTTAGTAGAACTTCTTACACACGCAGAGATACGTGCCCCATAGCTGGTTGCCTAGAGTAGCCTGCTTGAGTCTTGACACCACACCTTACAACTAACTTGCAACTAACAAGACTTAGTGCAGATTTCGGAGAAATTCTCTATAATTAGTATAAATAATTATGTTTGGTTCTCCAGAGCAAATCCTGAGACTGAGTAAGAGCTTAGCCGTTCCCTGGTCTGTACCCAGCACAACTTGCCACAAGTAGTCGAGGGTCAAAATTGACAAGACAGTAAGATTGTATTGTGACCATTATTACACCGCGTCACTCAGCCGTCCATGCGTAGGACTTTCGGACTTGTGGGACGGGCTTACTGACTCGACAAACCAGGCCAGGGGGTATTCCTCCAAATAATGGAGTTAGTTTTGGTGCGCAACTGATAAACAGTCCGTTATAGATTCAGTCTTGTAAGTTGTAAGTAATTAGTTGTAACACGGCGCATGATGACTACATGCAATGATACTATATCCGATGAAGCATTCGCACGTGAAGCACACAGCCCAATGCTAATGCTATTCACAGATTCTAGGTGACATCAACAATCCAGGTGATACTAATTACTGGCTGCTGCTAAATTAAATTAATTGACATTGGCGCTGGCGTGAAGCCAACCATGCACTACGCATGCATGAACCACAGATCCGCCTCAATAACACTTTTAATACGCTATAAACAGCGGTGATGATGAAGTAACAATGTTATCGCTCAACTATTTGAAAGAACGTACATAGTCATTGTATGCCATCAAAGAGCACATAACCCCCAAGGCGCATAACCCCCAGGGTGTATGGGCTCTTGATGTCACCCAGTATAATGATGCATCCACCCAAGTACTGAAGATGTAAAAACGGTACATGTACACTCAAATTCTCAAAAGCTTCCATGAACAATGTACATGATGATTATACAATAGTAGTTACTGAGTAGTACATTGTCATTGTATTCGCATGCAGGGTGCATGGAACCTGTGTTTAGCGATCATCCCACTGCAGAATGCAGAGACCTGAGCAGGCTGAGGGTGCATGTACAGATTCTGAGGCTGGTCTCAGTTCTTTATTCACTGGACTTCATTGCGACTCACGGTTTCGGCCCATCACTCTGAGCTCCGCTGATATGACCTAAGAAGGTAGAAACCGTTACCGGTTCGGAGATCAAGGAGGTACATGTACATTGTTACTGGTTGAAGGGTGTACGAGTAGAAAACATGGTTTGAGTCCTGAAATGATCAGCCACTTAACCACACAGGTCCTTTTGAAAATGTTACTGTACTGCATTACTGTTTGGTGTACAGGCACTTCAATACAGTTGTGCGGGTACTCGGTAATTACGGACACTCGGTAATTATGTAGTTGTGCTACCGGTATACCGGTACTGTATTAGCACTGCGAAGATCGATCAGGGCCTCAAGGGAGTAGCACGACGTGACTTTGTACATGTAGTCCCAATCACACTTAGAGGTTTATTGAGTTAGGTATGCCGTATGGGTATCGATCAGATTTCTCGTTGGCTAGCTACCATGCACGTTAGCAAGAACAGTCCTGATGGTAGAGAACTCGATGGTGTTCACTGCTTTCCGTTTTAGGATCACTTGTGCCCGTACACGTTCCTGAGTAGATCGGTTGATTAATTGTGTTAGGGTTCCCGATTTATGGTCAAAGTCTCTCGTCCCACTAGGCTGAAGACTACTCCGTACTCGTGTTTCCCTGCATCGATTTTGCTTTTGTAGGATTACTGCACTAGTGAATAAGGAAAAGAAGCTTATTGGCATACGACCCCGTGCCCTTCCCCTGTGGTCCCAGTTCTTGCAGCTTCACTTATTGAGCTCTTTGAGTAGAAATCTCAAGCCAAATGCAGAGGCCAGAGTACCTAAGCATAACCACAAGTGAACACACACTGACACAGTAACACTGTGAAATCCACCCGCACTGTGCTGAACACCTCGGGGTCGTGTTTCTGTGGCAAGGGAGTGCAAGTGAGACTAGTTACTTCCACGGATAGTATAGACCAACTGTACAGCATGATAATACTAGTATAGGGTTCCAATTTACTTATCACACTTTTCCTTTCATGCAATTGGTTTCAGTACTTGAATTGTGTTCTAGCAAGAGTATACTCTTGCTAGCAAGAGTATACTCTTGCTAGCAAGAGTATACTCTTGCTAGTAAAGAGTATACTCTTGCTAGTAAGAGTATACTCTTGCTAGTCCTATTAGCCTATGATACTATAGTAGCTGGTTTTATACATGTATAATGTAATGAACATTCATGTTTGAACCAGCTCTACCTCTCGGAGCACTCTCTTGGACAGCCTGGAACCTCTCTGTTTTAATGAACATACATGTATAATTATTACTTCGAAGTAAGACAGTTCATCGCCTTCTTATGACAGTTCTCAATTATGACACTCAGGGTGTACCTGAGATCGAGTAATACGGGAGTATCGAATTATGTACACCAACACACTCATTCCCGCACACAAACACACCTAACCACATCCCAACTGTCTGCCACAGTATCCTTGTGGTTTCGCATCCGAAATGTTTATAATACGAACGGAACACCGCGAGTGAGTAGTCTTGGGTGTCCCAGTAATACATGTACGTCTCGGTTTGCCTGCATGGATTGCAGCATATCTCAGCGGTTACTCAAACTATACAGTAGTATAGTGTTTGGAATGCTACATACACACTGCAAAGAGATTTAGAAAACACAGTCGACCTCTTCTCGTGCATCTGCCACTGGAATCGACTATACACTACATGCGTGATTGTTGTCAACAATCCGCTGAACACAGTGAAAGTCACACCAATATCTCTCTCCGTGCCCCTATACGAAACTGCTACTGCACACCATATTATTTTCCCGAGGATTGTCAGTCTAACACCTGACATTGGTAGAGGTACATGTAGGTGTGTGCTCATTGTTGTCGCATTGAAATGAGAGTACAAATGTCGGCTTGCCAACTCTCTATTTCTAGAGTACCACCTACCCACTCAAATGAGCCCTGGCTGGCTCATGACCTTATCATCCTATTCACTTGGAAGCCGTCCTTTGAAAATAAGCTTTCTGAATCGTTCTGACAAACTAAAGTGAACGTGATATCAAAGACCTCTGCGCAATGCACTTCTGAGTCTGATATCTTGGCCCGTGACGTGTGACAATGATCCGTTATCTTGATACTGCTGTGATGACGCTCTGTTCGTTTCCGGTGCAACGGACACTAGTCGCGCAAGTCTGAAAGACAACACGCGCACGCATGCTTGCGGCAACACCTGTTTAGTGTTGTGGCAGCCGCAACGTGATGTCAGGAGAGTGGAATCCA